AATAAATATTGAACAGTAAAAATTAATATTTATATTGTTTCATATAATAATTGTTCATTTTCAATGCTTCATACAATATTTTACATGACTTTTCACGTAATAATTGATATTATTAAATAAAGATTAATTTCGAATGATGTAATATTAATTTACTCTGGACATTTTTGTGATAGCCAGAAGAATGTTGCATACATGCAAGGTAGCTTCATTTTCGTCGCTATTATTATACGTGGCAAAGAATGTTTAGATATAATGTTGAATAGTTTCGAGAAAGGCACATTCTGATGTTGTGAGCTATTTCGTAGGAGGACACGTAGTAGAGATATGAACATCGTCGACATTTTTTTAAATGGTATTGTATAATTTTTTCCACACTGATCGATGTAGCTTTATATTCTCTACAGAAAAGTATTAACCAATTAATATCGAAAAGACATTAATTAAAGATATATTTAGATTTTAGTGATGCTATGAAGTCGCGATTCTCTTAATAATGTTTTAATAGGATTTCATCTGCACCCAAATTCAGGAGACGCATAAAGTTTTTAGTGGGCTGTGACATCTATGTTGGATACATTAGCTGGTATTTGGCTGCGGTATTTTGAAAGACAGGCTAATAAAATATGCTGTGGTATTTCAAAGGCTATAAGCTAATCAAATATGAAAATATAATTACTATATACTGTTTAATTAAAATGAGTATTTTGTATGTTTGTCAAAGTGGTAAGGATTTTATTCAAAGAAAAAGATTAATGTGACGAACGTTTACATTTTCTGAATCGAAAAAAAAATCATTCTGTTTCAAAGTACTAAATAAATTTCTTATTCCTGTTTACTTTACTATCTTATTTCAAATAGAATGTCTGTCAGTAAATCATAGTAAACTGTCAAGGATTGAATATAATCTCCGAAATTCAATCGCGTTCTTTAAGACATCGTAAATGCTCTACACGAAATGGCTAGAGTATAATTAGAGCGTTATCGAGTGGAATTAATCCGCAATTAACTTGATTAAATCTGGCAGCACCCAAATCTGAGAATTAAAGCTCTGTAGCGTACCGAGTTATAGTTGCCCGTAACCAACAACACAGATACGTCTGAACTCATCCGGAACTACTCGACATTTTGATACTTCAGTGAACTATCAGTACGTTGGAGCTGATTGAGGGCTCGCTCCTCCCATCACTCAACAATGATCGATGCGATTAATTCGGAACTGCTGCGAACGATTTTTCAATAAACGACATCATCCGGTTTTGGCATTGTTAATGAATTTTTGAAAAACTTCACCGTATTCCCTCATTTTTCAGTATTAAAAAGAGGAAAGGGGCTGCAGGGGTAGTCACGGTACTTCCCTAATATTTCTCGACAAAATTCTGACATTTTTTGCTCGGTTTTATCAATCACCAGAGAAAAATAGTGCAAAATATGGATTTACAGGACTACACATTTCGTTCTTATATGAGAACATTTTTGAACTGTCAAGTACCTTTTTCATACAGAACAATCTCTTTTAGGTATAAAATTATTTATAATGAGAGGCATTATAAAAAATAAAAATATTTTTTATATATTCTATAACCTTGATTAAATAATGACCAGAGCGCATCAGATTTAACTTTCCTCTTTCCAAAGAGGTACCTGACGAACTAAAAATTCTGTTATATAAGGATGAAAAGTGTAGCCCGGAAAACCCATATTTTTATCAATTTTGAGGGTAACATTGACATTCTGTCTTATCGCGCGGCTATCGGAGTCTACCCCCTTAAACTGAATCCGTTGAAAGGTTCTCAATAACGAGAGGCTCATCTAACGGATTATTAAAGATTAACAGACGAAATAATTAGACGCCTCGGGATAATTAGCTCGTAAAATCGATTTTCTATCCGCGAACGTGTCGAGCACCGCACGATGACTCCCGTCCTCGCGGGCTATGGAGCCACGCAGCGACGCAGCTATTACCGAAATCTGCAAAGTAATTACACGCTGCCGAGGGCTTGAAATAGTACGACAAATCTGGACACAATAGACGGTCGTCGTTAATCCGACTTCTAATTACACGCAATGCCAGCTGTGCTCGCGTTCCATTGAAACGCGACTTTCCCTGAATCTTCCATTCCTTATCTTAATATTATTTAAGACGTTACTAAGATTTTGTCATCACTTTCTACTTCGTTCATAATAAATAGCTGCAATATCATACGAAAATTTTAAGCTCCATTCCACAATATCAATAATACAAAAAATAAAATTACCAGAGCGGAAAAAAGTAGTACAAAGAGAAATATTTTCAATTCAAACATACTCGTCGTTTTGAATTCAGAACAGGCACCGAAGCAAACAGAATAGCTGTTCTTTTAACGAAATTACTCTAAAAAATCTGTCACAATTTATCCAGGTAAATGCGACAACAATTTGGAGCGCGACATTTGAAAATAGAAAACTGTTGCCGCGAACAGTTAGCTGCATACTAAATTACCGGGGACGAACGTAAAATTGAATTGGCTAAACTAACAGCAGGACCTTCATTCAATAATTCACAAGGGTTTACCGTGAAACTGACACCGGGGCCCTGACGATGATTGATGCGTGCGTTAGGCTGCGTACCCAACGGCAAACGTTACAGGAAATTCACGAGCTTAAATAAAAAATATACGCCTAATGTGTTACGATCGTCGCATGCAAGAAATTAATTATCTAACATCAATTCGTGTTTAAAAGAAAGATTCATACTATCCGCGAACGTCTCAAGTCAGATATTCAAGCTTCTGCACCATTTTCACTTGGCGTGCGCGTACTGTAACGCGAGTACATAGGTACACGCGGCGACTAGTAACACCAATGATTGGTCTTTGTTCGTTTTTAACATCATTCCTTTCACGAGCATGCACGGCAAGGCGAATCGATCGTGCGTGAAGAATTGTACGTGTTCGGGGACGCTGTGTGCGTGCACACAACGGGCCCCGGGCTGAGTGTACGTACGTACGTTTGAAAGAGCAGGGCTGCTCGCACGTGTTCGTGGCTAGGGTTTCTGTATTTCTTTTTTCTCCTCTCCTTCTTTGTCCCGTGTATACGAGCACGTTTATCGAAGCCTTGTTTCGCGACAATGCTGGTTCTGCTGCCGAGGGAAAACGAGAAAAAAAAAAGGGGGATACGTTTCTAATTACGGACCGGGTCGCGTTTGGGTGCATCGGTCTCTGGTTAATGACACGATAACGCAGGAAGAATCATACTTTTTTGCTTTCGTTTCATCCTTTTTTGAAATATTGAAACGGCAGAAGCGCATGTAAAATGTTTTGACAGAGTTACCGTCGAATTCAAACTTATTATTTGCCAGCTTTCGAATCTCCGGAAATAAACGCTGGCGTTAATTTGAATCTGTATACTATACAGGGTAAGTCAATCAGAAATATCATGTACAATCACTTGTTATTTAACGATTTTATCGAAAATTGTTCTTTTCACGTACGATTTTCAATGTACGATTTCACTGTATGATGGAGATTATTAAAAACTGTTTGATGAACTAACATGTCGCACTCATATAAAATGACGCTTGTGAAAAATCTATGTTTTTTAGTTATTGCCATCCACGGATTGATCCATCCTCTATCGAACACCAAGGCCGGTATTGAGAGTCGTTACTTATACTTAAAATCGCATTAAGCATTTGCTTAAGTCCCTGTTTTCTGTACAGGACTGGGACTGGAAACGTAGGATAGACAGGGATAGCAAATGCTTAAGACGATCTTAAGAATAAGCAACGACTCTGAATATCGGCTCAAAAGTGTACCAAAGTAGCTTGAAATCCTATTCGTTATCGAACACTACTGTCACTCTTCTTGTCATGAAACTACCCTCACTGATTCGGCAAGAATGACACATCTGAGATTTGAGTATTGAATCTTATGATGTATGAGTAGATCACAAATCCAAAATATGCAATAACAATATTGAATAATTCTTTCCCATCGTCTATAAATTGCGAAAATTATTAGCTAATTTTTTAAGCTTGCTTAATAGTTTTTCCCAATTTCTTCAAAATATTAGCTTTTGACTAGTGTAACTTTAAAAATACATGTGCGACACGTTTTTGTCTGGGTTTGTGATGAACTGCAAACAATATTTCTTATTGACTCACCCTGTATGTAAATGTTGTAACACCCATTTCTTCAACTTATACAATTAAATTTGTTTTGTAACTACTTTGTTGCTCGATTATAACAAACAATTCATGCAGGGGTCTCTGAAACTACGACAACAGTGGCATGCAAACTGTGTAAATTGTCATGCTACACGAAGCAGAAATCGTATACAGAAAAAGACGTTCTGTCTATTGCAACTCAACTCGCACTTTGATAAACGAAACACAATTCTTTTGGATAACTCTCCCGTTCCTCTTTTTGTCGGTGCTGTGTGCGGTGTGCGTGTTACAGTTAGAGAGAAAGTCTTTTATGCGTTAAATAATCTGTACATAACAAACGGCCCAATTTCTGTTCACCTCATAATTTTCTACTCACTGACTTAATATTATACAATTATAGAAAAACAAAGACAGCAAGTAGAAATCATGAATTAACAAAAATTGAGGCTTTTGCTGTACAGTGGAAACGGGTTTTAAGGTTGTTAGATGTAAGGCTGTTGAAAACTTACAACGTCGATTATTTGCATTAGTGTAAGGCCAAAGCTCAACACGAGGGGATCAGACTCGTTCCCGACCGGACGCTCCAGCACGTTATACGCATCCAGCAGGTCAGTTAGCAGCCGTTTCTCGTGCGAACCGCCGTTTACCAGCCCTGACCAATCAATTAATCGTTTTTGATTTCAGTTCAATTTCAAATTGTCCACTTTGAGCCCCGACCACACACTTCCGAGCCCGGTATCATTATATCTCCGCAATCCACGCTCGCGAGCCCCCGGAAACGTTGCCGGAAAAGCGGCGAGGAATTAGGCATCGAATTATTTGAAGATCGATTCTTAGGCGAACCTTCTTTTGCTCCGTGACAAGACAGTTTCTTGGTGGTTAGATTGTATCGTTTTTCTTGTTTTGAAACGTGTGTGAAGCGAGATACATCGTAGATTTATTGCGGACAGCGTACGTGGAGCAACGGAGTGTTAGTCGTGGTTCAAAGTGTGCATGTCTTGAAAAACCATGACGCCCTTTTCTAACAAAAATCTTCAAATCATACTACACACAATAAAATAGAATTCCTTTAATGCTACGTATATTTAGAGATCGTGATGAAATTTTTCTTAAAAAAGGGCTTATATAAATGTCTCCATCCATCGAGTCGTCTGATTCGCATGTGTATATTTGGAACCGACCTGTGAATAATAAAGAAAATAAAACAAGCATCCCTTCGTCTTCGAGTTAAAAAATGATCGAATTCGGCCCGGTTCTAACGCGCGCAGATAGTTTTGGCATTGATTCTGTCGTATCTCGCGATACCGATGCAAACTCGTGACTGCAGCCATCATCCGACAGGAAATGACCGTATCAAGATGGCTTTAGATATTACATAGTATGCTGCATAGGTGGACGGACCATTTCCCATCGGACCCGCCGCGCGACGCGTTTGTATTACCGCACAAAGTCGATCTGGAATCAACCCGGCTGTCTGCATATGATCGCGACGCTAGCGAATTTACGTCAAAGGGAGCAAGTGAGTCTCGTGAGTAATTAAGACGGAAATTCGCTGACTAGCTTCCCTGTAATAAAAAGCGTTATAAAAAATTGCGCCAGTGTTGATTAAGTTCTGTTTTCGATGGTACAAGACGATGATAAGCCAAATGTTCGTTTTGTAGTTTTATTACGTATAAAGAATTAAAAACTGGAATGTTGCCGTTTTTAATTGGCGTTTATAACTAATATGCCAGCCTCGAAACTCGAGACTGTGGATAATAACAGTTTTCAGAGAAAACTTGTATCAGCGATTGGCCCTCGTCCCGTCGACGCCGCGTAGAAAATGTCGTCGACGTGAAAAAACGGGAGGAAAGAGAAGTAAAGGAAAGAAGAAGTGATAATAACGACGGTACAAATATCTGTCGAGCGTCTCATACTTATAGAACGGTTTACCTTCTTCCGATTTATCCCCGAAGCTCCTCTCTCTTCAGTCGCTTGTTCGAGTCACTCCCACGGTGAAGTTCCGGACTACTTTTCGCGAATATACAACTTCGTAATCTCTCCTTCGATCCCTCCCCACCTCGCCCCTTACCGTCCCGCGCCACTGTTTCCTGTTGCTCGCGAGAGATCCCACGATATCCTTATTCCGCGAAACGAGACTTGCTGAATCAACTTGTCGCGTTAATAATAACGCTTCGCTGCTGCTCTGTTTCGAAGGATCGCTTAAAATTTCAGAAAATGCAGCTTTCCTCGGAAATTCTTTCTACTTCGCCACCACTTTTCAAAGAGTTTTCTTAAATCCATTCGCGACAAGTATTTTATTGTTACAGAATTGTATGCAGGATGTTTGACTACTAGTGGGAAAAATGTTAAAAGATGATTCTAGAATTCATGAGGCAAAAGAGAAGAATAACAAAATTGTACCCGTGGCATCACTTTTTAGTCATAAGTAATTAAAGATTTGATGATGGGCGAAGTTGCCCACCGCCTGTGGTATTAAGAAGCAACGTACGCTAAACTCTAATTCTCAATGAGAATTTTTAATCGCTTGTAAGAAAAAAAATGAAACTTCGAACTCAATTTTTGTATCCTTAATTTTTGTCTTATTCTGTTCTTCTTCTAGAGGGACTCCTTAGACTTTTGTCCACCAATAGCCGAACACCCTGGACATGGATGAACATTCGAGTAGTATAAAATTTGTAGCATAGGGTGACGAAGTTCGCTCGTTATAATAGACAGTCATTAATTTTCATCGAAACACGTGGGTTCGATTGTCAAGCCGGGTTTAGCTTTTCGAGGCAATTCGAAGAGAAAATTCCGCGTTCCGGTCGTAGGTACATACCACATACGTCTCGTCGTATTTGGAGCACGGGAGGAACGATATCGTTAGCATCCGAGTTTACAATTACAGAGCGGAACGACCGACATTCGTATTGTCTTGTATCTACGCGTGTACTCGTTAAACGTTCCGATATGAAACTGCTCTCACTTCGTTTAGGAGTGTACATTCCTTTCTCTGTTGCTGGAACGCGGAAATCAAAAGCCACGTTTTTTATGTCGCTACGATGAAAAATAAAATGCGATTCATCGACAAGCGTTCCGCGCACACTACAGTTAACTGCCTGGCAGTCACGTGTAAAAAAAAGCTTGATATACACGGAAACAAATGTTTGTTCGATGCCTTCGATATAAATCAATTTAAGGGAGTTCTATCCATAATTGAATCAACAGATTTTGATTAAATTTCTTCTACTGTTGAATAAAGCTTTTAAACAAATGTGGTTACATTTCCAGAGATTGTGAGTACCTAACAAAAACGTTCACATATTTTACGATACGTTTTATGAAAAATAAAACCTAACCCAACTTTTCTAACAATATTCACATAATGTAAAACACTTGAGAACGTATTCACAGTTTGAGCACTCAGCGAAGAAGTCGCGGTCTTCGCGTGTGATTAGCAGGCGTCACGTGAGCGATCATCGCGCTAATTCACACGCTCGGTCACAAAATCGGCGCGACTACCGCGCTGCCAGATGCGAATCGCGGCAAAATCAAACGGCGCGAACACAAACTATTAATCGAATCCAATTCCGTAACAATGTGTCTTTAATAAGGGAAGCTTAAACAGTTCCACCGTGGAAGATGATAATGGGACACGGTGCTAATATGGTATCTGTCTGCAATAGCAATAACCATTAAATTTTATTGTTTGATGCTCACTCGCATTAATGCTGCGTCGTTTGGAAAGCAGTTTACACAGAAATTGAAACATACAAGTTTAAACAGTAATTTATCCGTTTTTACTGGTCCATGTAAAATGTCATTTATAATAATTACATTAAAATTGTGAATAAAGAATGACGTGTGTTTACAATTAAATGGAGATAAAGAATTGTTTAGCATATATTGTTTTAAACAAAATGCGTAGGATAAATGATCGGCAGGAAAATCGGCGAGCGATGGCATGGTTATTACTTCTTTTTTTTTTTCTACAAAAGGAGAAAGATGGAGGGAAGAATGCCATTATCGCAATCGAACCGTTCTCACTCCGATAATTTTACCGCAGAATGAAATCCGTTCGCGCTGAATGCACCCTGCCGTTGGACGAAACAATAGGGCGCAATCGACCCATTTTCATTAACACGATCATATTTCATAAGACGTATTTCATAAATGCGGCATTAGTAAACAGGAAATGAACGGCAGACAAATTTTTTTCTCCCAATACCACATAGTGACGAAATTCGATCGTTCCAAAATCGTTCTACATTGAAGGACAGAACTTTCAATTATTTTATGAAAAAAAAAAAACTATTACAATTTTATCTTCTAGAAAAGTAATTATCTGAGTACTGGAATTGTTGAAGGAAATCTGATCGAAATGCAACGTGCAATATTTTATATAAACGACAGAACACTTTGTTCGTCAAACTGAAAGTTAATTAAGTTCGTAGATAAATTACGTCGCGCGTTCTCGCTCGGCGGTGCCGTTAAACGATATCCAGAGGATCGATTAATGGAGACGCTGTTCTCGGGTTGGAACCATAGAAATTCATACGCGGTCGTAGAAACACACTCGCAGATTTATGGCCTCGCGGGATCCGGGAGGTCTTCCCTTTTATTTCGAACCCGGGCGCGAGGATCGGCCAAGGAAAGTTTATAGACCGAGCCACAACGGGGAAAGAAATCGCTGACGTGTTCCGGGTGGCAGCGATTTTTGAGCATTCATCGCCGCGATTCCCATGCCGCGTTCCACCGCGAGAATTTTATTCCCAAAAGTTTCCGATCGGGACGAACACGCGATTCAAATCGATGCCGAAGACTATACATATATACGACTAGACCCTTCGACCGATGTATTTCTCCGTCTCCTGTGACTAATGCTTCATTACAATTTTCACGTCACGTACGACGTTATCAACAGATTATAGTAATCATCCCAATTTTTACTCACTAGATAAAAATTATATAGTATTTTTGTTTTGCGTCTGACAAGACAATTTGTGAAAGAAGTAATTAAGACTGCTTTTGGTTATTGTATATTTAAATATATCACGAAACATTAATTAATAATGACATTTCATTGAAAATATCATGTGTACAGTATCTTCTAATCTGCAGATCTTTTAATCTTGTATAAAAAGAGAAACGATACCACCTGATGTACTAGACTTCAAGCAATTCAAGCTCTGAGTTCTAATAAAAGTATGAACGTTAGTTATGACATTTCATTGAAAATATGTGTAGAGCATCTTCTGATCTGCAGATTTTTTAATATTGTGTAAAAGAAGAAACGATACCACTTGATGTACTCATTCACGAATTTCATTTGCTTGTACAGCTTGGGAAAGAGAAACTGAGCCAGCTCGGGCTTGTGTTAGTTTCCTTTAGGGGGACAGAATTGAAAAGAATATAAGTGGTGGTAGTAATGTGCGTAGATTAAAATTGTTTTTATTTTGACGCGTTAAAATTATGTTAAATTCCGACAGTATTCATGCCAGATCGAGCACTGAAAAAACAAGACATAGACTTATTACTCGTTTTGAATTCTGCCCTCCCTAGAGGAAACTAACACAAGCCCGAGCTGACTCAGTTTCCGTGTCCCAAGCTGGAATTCAAATAGATACTAGACTTCAATTTCCACGTTCTGAGTTCTAATAAAAATGTTAA